AGGCAAAGCCAAAGAATTAACAAAAAAGATCACAAGCTTCCAGGCAGGGGGGGAAAAAAAAGAATTACAATGAAGTAAGAAAATTTTAAAACAGTAGTATTTTTCTTTATGGTACTACAAATCAGAAAACTCTGGGAAAATGTTTCTGTAGTATAAATTTCTTGTAGTAATCTTGACGGTCATCTTTCTGATATGTAGAATTTCAGAAAAGTGGCAATTCTTTTTTAAAAGACGTTAACCAAGAGTCAAAACAAAAAAAGAATGTTGTAGCCCAGGGTGACCTCAAGCTAGTGTTCTCCTGCCTTACCCTTCTGAATGCTAGGACTGTAGGCGTGCCTCACAACGACTGACAAGATTTTTTTTAATTGAAATGAAAAAAAAATGATCTAGGTTAATTTAATCAAATCAAAAAGAGAAAACAGAAAGAAGGAATACTTTATTTGCAATTGAGACTGGAAGAAAAGGAATTTTGTACTTTTAGCATGTGTGACCCTGACACTCATAAAACAAGATGTTCAATTGCAAATGTGTATGACGGCTAGTATTCAAAAAGCAAAATGCTAAATTGCAAATCAGTGCAGAAGTAAAAGAAACATAAATGTTAAAAAGGAAAATAAAACAACTTTACCTTAAAATAGCCAACCATTTCAATTACTACAGAGTTAGCTCTATTAAATCAAGGTTTTGAATCAATAGTCAACAACTGTGACTTCACATAACAATGAAATAAACGCAAATGCTACACTTTTTTAAAGCTACTATTTCAAGTATCAAAACATTTGTTAAAAAAACCTACATCAATTCTCTGATTAAATGCAATTAAGGCATAACTTAACATCAGCCAGCAAAACCATAAAAAGGAAGGAAAAAGCCCAGCGACACTGTAATCCCAGCTATTTGAAGATAATGCAAATTCTAGGCCAGCCCTGGCAAAGTCAGCAAGACCCTGTCTCAAAAATAAAATACAAAAGGGCTGGTGGCATAGCTTGAGTGGTAGAGCACTTGCCTAGCTATGCACTAGGCCCTAGGTTCAATCCATAGGAAAAAAAAAAAAGATGAACCTATAAAGCCATAGGTCAGGTATACACACAGTTAAAGTTAGAAGTACAAAAAATTTGGGTGTATAATCAAAAGTAAATGCAGTTTTGAATATTTCTCCTTAGGAAATGAAAGGAATTATCAGTTCAACTTTGTGGTTCAGAAAAGTCAAAATGCAAGAAGAGGCACTGAGCTGGTGAAGTAGCTCAAAAGGTAAAGCATATGTCTAGCAAGCCTGAGACCCTGAGTTCAAAATCCAGTACCACAAAAAAAGACGAAGAGGCACAAGTGAAGGTAAAATAAATATACCAATGTGTCAAACAGTAGGGTTTTATCCTTAGCCAGCTTATCAGGAGAACACACAACCAGCTCTAATTCAGCCAGGAAAGGAATGGGAACTAGAAAAGTAGGTCTTCTTCAGCTTGCAGGCTCCAACTCCCAGGCAGCCACACCTGAGCACAGTTAAACACAGACTCCATGCTCCCCAGGTGAGACAGCCCTTCCACTCAAATCCCCACCACTCAGGCTACTGCCTAACAGAACTCACTGAGGACAGCCCTAGAACACTGGAAGGTTGCTTCCAGTTCCGGGTACTGCAAAGCCAGTGTCTCCTCCCACCCTTTCTTCTTCTGGGACTTGCTTGAAACTACATTTGAAAAGCATGTTAAAGGAAGTTCTAAAGAGGGCAAATGAAGCCCAGAGAGGCCCTGCCTAGGGTACCGCAACAAGCCTCCTTTCCAGACCCTTCAGGTCTGCAGGGCACTGGTGCTGGCACCATCACCAGCCACATGACCCCAGCACCACAGAAACCTAACTCTGACAGCAGCTCCATGCCTCTAAATCCAGATGTCAAACTCTACCATCCCACTCTACCTCCAGCCTCCTCTGAATGCCACAGCCTAAATCATGGCAGAGACGTAGGCCTGGAGTAGAAAACCAGGAGCACATTTCTGTGCCAATAGGCAAGAATGTGAGACTGCAGGGAGATCATAGATTTGGGAGAGCTGTTTGCTAGAATTTGAAATGTTTCATAGAAATGCTAATCTAAAGCCAGGTGTGGTGGCACATGCCTGTAATCCCAGCACTCAAGAGGCTGAAAAGAATGGAAGATCATGAGTGCCAAGCCAGCACTCTTTTTGGGGGGAAGACCTTGCCCCCCCAAAAAGTGGGGTAGTGGGGAGGAAAGAGAAAAAAATGTTAATCTAAAAATAGAAATTTTAACTGGCCTTCAACGGTATTGCAAAGCAGAAGTCTGCATTTAGCATTGTTATTTATTACTATGTTAGTCCCAAGTGGTGTCAAACATGAACGTAGTAAAATCATGGAAGTAAGAATCACGTGCCTGGAAGACACAGGACTCTGCACCCCCAAGAGTCAGTGTCATAATCCTTAGAGCAGAGAACCCCGTACAGCAAGCAAGATCTTTTTACATCTTTTTACTGTGAACAGGTAAACTGCAAACAGCATATTGGTAAACTGGAATGAGGAACTTCTGTATATTGGAAAACAACTTGATTGACACCCATTTATTACAGACTTCAGTCATGCCAGGATAGTGAATGTGTGAACAAAAGCTTTCACACAATTGAGCAACATTCCACAAAATCTAATGTTCAAGGGCTGCTTGCTAGCAATTTGAGGTCTGATTAACCTGAAGCAGTAAGCAAGAGCCTGACATTATCAATACTGACATTATTGTTTGGGCTGGGGGGTGTGGCTCAGTGCAGAACACTTTTCTAGCATGCCTGAGGCCCTAGGGGCTTGGGAGGTGGGGAGTAGTATTCTCTGTTTCAACATTATTACAGTCAAACACTGACCTAGATACAAGGAAACAGCTTTCCATTAAACCCAGTCTTGGCAATTTAGCTTCAAAGCAAAAATCATTTGTTAAATTACATTAATATTTTTACTTCATTGTGTTTACTCTATATATTCTATTTGGCTTTTTTAAAATTAAGATTATAATAAATAACTGAAGTCAATATATGAGAGAGGAGAGACAGCATATGGACATGGAGTCCTTAATTTCTTCAGATGTACATCTTAATAGAAATGAAAAATGAACTAAAAATATGTCTTAGTTTAGGGAGTGGAGCCCTTGTTGAGGGAGACACCATAGTGTACTAGAATAAGACAGGAAGTCTGAATTTAATCCCTATTGTACATCTATGAATAATTAAACTTGGATAACCTACCTTAAGCCCTTATAAACGCTCAAGCTAGAATTTACTATTTGACCTGTACAAAGGAAGCACATGGAGTCTTTTAGGATTGATTTGATATTCTAGAGAACAGTAAAGACGGGGAAAAAATTTTAGTTTTACTAAGACTTGTAAATTGAAGGTAAACTTGAGTAATTTTTACCTTCTACTTTCACTTTAAGAATTTAAATACTTTTGCTCTGTGTAAGTCCTAAATTCTGTTTTTGCTTACCTGGAACTAAACAAATTCTGCCCAAGTAGGTACAATTATCAGTCAATGTACAGGAACTACAGACACCAATGTAAATTCCTGAGGAAGATTAGAGAGACCACCATGGAACATCTCAGTCAATAAAGATATAAAAAGGAAGAAAGGGGGGAAAACCACTGACCAAAATAACAACCAGGAAAAACTAAAAATAGCTGCAAACAGATCTTTGAAAGTGCCCTACCAACTAAAGAGTCTCGTATCTTAAGCAATGAAAAAAGAAGTTATCTATAGATCTTGGGCTGAGGGTGTAGTTCCAAAGGCAGAGTGCCTGCCTAGCAAGCGCAACGCCCTGAGTTCAACCCCTAACCAAAATAATAGTAATGATAATAATAATAATAATATCTATAGTCTTGCCCAAATTGCATAGCCAAAAGAGCTGGGTATGGTGGCACGCACCTACAATCCCAGCACTGAGAGAGAGAGAGAGAGAGAGAAAGAGAGAGAGAGAGACTAACTGACTTTAGATAGCATCTAAAAACTAAATACCTGAATCAATAACCACTTATTTAAAAGTACCACAGAGCAGGAAGAACCCAAAAGCTGCACGTGACTACAAATATTTAATAAAAAATGTATACATAAATATATACTAACATACATATATGTACAAATAAAATAACCGTGATGAGCCTAAAAGCTAATTAATCAAAGTAATACTTTTTTACATCTGTTTTTTACATCTAGATTATAAATTCATAGAGTTAAAAAAAATACATCTATTTTCAGCTTCCTCATATAGAGAGACCACCAGTTTCAGAAGGTTTGGGGGAAGTTGAAAAGTAATGTAAAAACTAATTTCTTCCATGAAGTACCATACAAGTATTAGTTATAGTAACTAATACTTTTTTTATAATAGCCAAAATTGTACACAACCTCAAGTTCACCAAGAGCTGAGTCAATAAGCAAATTGTAAGATGTGCACCAATCAATAATAAAAAGGAATCATTATTTATATGCATAACAATTATGGCTAAATCTCAAAACAATTTTGTTGAGTCAAAAAAGCCAGATAAAGGGGCTGATGGAATAGCTTAAGTGGTAGAGCACCTGCCTAGCAAATGTGAAGCCCGGAATTCAGACCCTATAACAACAAACACAGCTGGATTAAAAAAAGAAAATATACTGTATGATGGCATCCATACAAAATTCTAGAACATGAACACTAATCTATAGTGAGAAAAGGCAGACTGCCAAGGGAAAACCAGAAAAGGGTATAATTAGCCAGGAAAGAGGGATCCCCAAGGGGCACCAGGAAACTTTTGCAGGTGATGATGATGCCCATTATGCTGAAGATGATGATGGCTTCAAGGTGTTTACATATGTCAAATTAAAATTTTTAATTATGTGCAGCTTGTTGTATATCAGTTATGCATCAATAAACCTGTTTTTTAAGCTGATAATAATGTATAGATTTGAATAGATATCTGGTAAGTCTGCTCACTATATAAAACAAACAAAGGATAGTTTTCTTAAAAAAATAAACAACTTACTTTGCATTTCCAGCCATTGGTTGGTACTGATTTCATAACTGGTTGAAGACAAAAAGTATGATACCCTTTGTCACACGTATCACACACTAGCATCTTGCTATCTTCTCCCGATTGTCTAAAAAATAAGATAGCATTAATGATGCCTTATCTTTAACTTATGTTTTGCAACATAAGTCATCATGAAAAGAATCAGTCTGGTCCGAGAAACTGCACAGTCCATAAATACCTCAGCATCTGTTTTGTCTCTGCATAGATTAGGGATAGAGGCAAACCCCTACCACAAAAATTAAAGGATTATCCTTAAAGTTCACCTAGGGTTAGCTTGCTTCAGCCATTTTAGAATTCCTACAGAGGAAGAGGGGTTAAAAGCAAGATGAACAACCCCTCATCTTCACTTTTAAAAAATCTGATACTCGCCCTATATGGGGAATTATAACTGCCAGGTGATACTGTGTGGAAAGGAAGAAATCTTGGAAAGACACTGTCATATAATGAAAGAGGATCAAATTTGACATCAGATCCAAACTTGCAGTAAGTAAGGATCTTGGTTTCCTAGCTGTGTGACCCTTAACACAGATGTTAGCTGAGTTTCAGGTATAGAATGGGGATAATAATCAAAGTCAATGTGAGAACTAAATACAGTGCTAGTTCAAGAGCTAATATCCATTTAAGTGCTAAACAATATGTATTAACCAAAGTAATATTGTCATAATTATGAAGAATTACAGTTGAAAACCAAAAACCTTTCTTTAAACACTCTTTGCCTCAAAGATAAGGTTCCTGCTCTACAGCATGACCTCTGTCCCAATTCCTGGCAATCACTCATCCTCATTAAATACTAAGAATTTAATTCAAGAGGTATAAAAAAGAAAAAATGGGAAATGCACTAAGGGTTGAGAGAGGAATTGTGAATCAAATCTGGGGATAAATAAGCAAGTAAGGTGGATCAGCTAGGACTCCAGTTCAACAAATTCCACATACAAAGTTGCTATTTTATTCACATACAAAGTTGCTATTTTATCTCATCAGTTACATGGAAAGACCTTGGAGAACAAGAAGCATTCTCCTCAAGTTCTCTTATTCCTTCCCAAGAAACTGAATGCAGATACAAGTTAACAAGTGAGTTTTTACTGACATTTTACCAATTTTTACCAAAATATGAAGGCAACTGGTCTGACCTATTTCCTGTAACTCCAAGATAATTAATACTGACTGTTCTCAAATTAAATAATTAATAAAGCATGATCTACTTGATCATGACAAGACTAGGCATTAATTCCTCCTGGTTATAAAAATTCTTAGCTTGTAGACAGTTTGAAGATTGCTGAAGATGTTGGTAACATCCCCAAATTATTGTGCTGACCAGATTTATGAGGGGAGGGATCAGAAAAAAAACTGGAGAAATGACCAAGGGATGAAATACAACAAACAGAAAAAATAAGTCCATTTCAAATGATTACATGCCATGTAATACTTCACTTTAGAATTGCAGTGATTAGGATCTACTAAAAGTAATTCTCTTTCAGACAGATATGTAGATTTCATTAAAACAGTAGTCTCACTAAAATTGTCCTTCCTGAGCATCACTGATTTTGGGGGTGGCTCAACTCCAGTTAACTTAATTTCTGTAGTTACAGTTTCATTCTCCTAGGAAATCCCCTCCCTAGCTCCCGTCAAGAAAGGTTGCTTCTTTCTTCTAATGCTATTTTAAATTATTAATATCACTTCTTTATAAATTGTTGTAACATTTCGTTTAGTTTCAGAAATTTTACCGTCTAGTGACTTAAGGCATGACACGTGAGTGGGAATGAACACAGCTGCAGTCGGAACACCTTTCTCTTCCTTGCAGCTACTGGCTGGGCCCTCTGGGCTCAATACGCACCGTGCGTTGGGATTAAACTTACTTGCAGTTCTGGCACACTTTGCACTCGGGACATTGCCAACCTGCACGTTTTAATGGAGTAACTGCTATGTCCAGGCACATTCCGTGATAGTGCTGCCCACAAGTGGTACAAAAGAACTGATCTAAGAGGTCTCCCGGGCTGTCGCACACTGCACAGTTTGCATCTTCCTTTGCTATAATTAACAGCAAAACAACGAAATTGTTGTGTAAGAATTTAGTACTTTTCTATCTTGGCAGTCAAAAAATCACTTCAAATGAATTTACATGAAAACCTTTCAGACACTTGATGTTATCCACATTGAGCTGACATCCAGTCAGAATGAGGCCTCAATAAAAACACTGAAGTGTATTTAATCTAAATTTAAATTCAATCACATTAAATTTAAGCGGGTACTTCTGCAATTATTTCTGCCTGTACCTACTTAAATATGTCCCTAGTACCAATAATAATGGTGGATATTTAGTTAATGCTCAGTACACACTTACTAGAAAGAACTCAACAAGGAAAAAAAAATCAACTGACAGACGCGTGTGATATAAAAATAAGCATTTTATTTGTATTAAATATATTTGGAAAATTACAAAATGAAGTAAGACAAAGTGAGGAAACGTTCATATCAATTAAATTAAAATACTTCTTAAACATAAATAGACTACTCAAATCAAATAAGGGATTTTCCTAATACTAGAAAATGTTTTCTGTGGGAGAACATTAAAGATGGAAGGTACATATTCATACTCATACATGAATACAATAATAATTCATATACTGATTCCATACTCATCTATAGCGATTTCTAGTTATAAAGGCATTAAAATACATATAATTACAGACCCCATCAACAACTAAATGTGGATTAAAAGAAAGGCACTTTCTAGTAGTTCATTTATCAACTAAAATTAAACTGCCTTGCCAAATACATGTTAAACCTTCTTACAACATAAGGAAAACACTATATTCTAAGATATACCAATTTTAGAAAATAAAATATTGCCTATATCTAACAAGTATCACAAACTATATGAATCCTTTTTCTTTCTTGCTGGTTAAAAGCACTTTCTACCTTCCTTCTCATTCAAGCATCTCAAAATATGAGATGACTCCTTCTAAGCAGGAGTCAGCATAAGTGGTCTCTATAATAAAGACTTATTTTTTTTACAAGCCTTTAAAAATGTAAAACACCGACTGGAGGTGTGGCTTAATCAGGAGATACCTGTCTAGTGAACATGAAGACCTGAGTTCAAACCACAGTACTGTCATCAAAAATAAACACCATTCCTACCTTGAGATCAGTCCTGAAGGTACCTGACTATACAATATCCAACAGTTGCTTTTTAGACTTTGCCTTATTGACACTTGGCAACATTTGCATTTTTGGCCATTTTCACATTTAAATTTCTCTTTCCTTGTCAGCTATGCCCTGGTATCTCCTTAGGTTTTCCACATCTTCATCTCACCTCCTTTTTGGCCTTTGAACCTCTATAATCCCTGTAAATGATTGAGTCCCATAGAAGTTCATCCCGTTTCTCCTTATTTTCTAATTCCCCACAGTTTCCTGTTGTGATCACACAGATCCCAAGACACAAAATATTACAAATCCCACATCGGCATTACCAGCCTCAGACTTCTTGAAACAAAACCTTTGTTTTCAAGACTTAATCAGACTCAAAAACCAGATGTTCTATAAAAATACTCAAACTTAATAGATCTAAAGTGAAACATAAAACAAAAACTCTTCCTTTTTTTCCTCAACAGAATGGGTAAAGCAGAAACGTTCGTATTTTGGGGTGGTACTGGAGGTTGAACTCAGAGCCTTGCTTGCTAGGCTTATGTTTTCTTCTACCACTTGAGACACTCCAGCAGCCCCTGGACACCAATTCTTATTAAACTTTCCTGAGTTACAGTTTAGGCCATCTTATTTTGTTCTGACCTCCTCTCTAAATCATCTACACATCCAGAGCATGCTTTTAAAACTACAAATCTGTTATCCTCTGCTTCAATTAAGAATCTATCAATACCTCACTTTAAAACCCCCAGAATTTTATAGTATGAGGCAAAAGTCCCCTACCTTCATTTCCAACTGAATCTCAGACCCACTCCATATTTCCTGATCACAGCAAGTAGTCAGCTGTGCCTGACACAACGTGCCATCAGTGTCTGTGTGCTTCCACACGTTCTGCTCGCTCTGCCTTGGCCCACTCCACACAGACCTTCAAAGTTACTCAAACATATTCCCTGAATAGCAATTATCACACCCAAATATCCTTTTTGTTGTTGAATATTCTTTTCCCCCTTATGCTTAGAAGTATACAGATTATAAATGTTAGAATAAATGCACTATGTAATCAATTAATGACAACATAATACTGTAAACACTTGAAGAAGAAGGATCTTATCTTTTTCTACTTTGTATCTCTTATTGCCAATCACAGATCAAGTCTTATTAAATGTTTTCAAATGGAAAGTTTCCTTGGTTTTTTTTGGTTTTTCTTTTGTTTTGTTTTGTTTTTTGTCTTTTCTTTTTTGGTGCTGGGATCGAACTCAGGGCCTCACACATGCTAGCCAAGCACTGTACCACCGAGCTACATCCCAGCCCTGAGAGTTTCCTTCTAAACTCACTTTGGAATGTCTTTAATTGGCAGGCATTTAAAATAAAATAAAAATGGAAGTGCCATACATTATTTCATTTTTTATAGAATGGACCTAAGAGGGGGCCTGGAGGTGTGGCTTAAGTGGTAGAGAACTTGCCTAGCAAGCACAAGGTCCTGAGTTCAAACCCCAGTATCACCCCCATATCAAACACAAACCACACAAAAAAACGAAAAAGACCCATGAAGGTAAATTATTACTAAGAGAGTGCCAGTATCTATCCTTTCGAGCTACATACATTTTTCCTACCCTTAAAAATCTTGTAGAAACTGGGAAAGCACTTGATTATCAGTTTAGCCTTCAATTACAGCTTACAGTGAACACTGTCTAAAATGCTTCTGGAAAACTTTGTCGAGTTTGCAGTCACTTCAACTGCTCATCGTAGCTACTAGCCCCATGCAGGCTACCTGACTGAGCAACAGAAAAGTGGTTAGTCCAAACTGAGATGTGCACTAAATATAAAACATATACTGGATTCCAAAGACTTAAGAAGAGGAAAAAGTCAACTATCTCAAAAATTCAATGTTAACATTTTGGATACATTAGTGTAAATAATTATTAAATTAATTTCAAAATTTTTACTCCTTTTAACAGAGGAAATTTTTAACCAGAAAAATTTAACTTACTTATGTTATATTTCTACTTCACAGAATTATGCTACACAACAAAACCCAACCTACAATAACACTATATATCACTGCTGCCCAGGTCATTTTTATTTTACAATAGTTTCCAGCAATTCCTTGATGACAGTTCTGCCATCTTCCTTGATTACTTGAGATCACTAATAACAAATCAAAAAAAAAAAAAAAAAAACGCAAAATAAATGTGATGCATCCAATACAAAAACATTTACTGTGTGTTATGTAAAAACCAATGATGGAAACAACCTTCTCAGACAAGCAGCACGTGTGTCTAAATATCTACAGCAGCTCTTTGGAGACGATGTATAAGATGCCCCAGGCAGCTTTGGTTTCATATCAAGTATGTGTACATATACATATATATTGTTCTGCAAGCCACAGAGACATTAAACTGATGCAATGATAAACAAGAAATTTTTCTTTAAGCAGCTGGAAAAGCAGAAGAGATTGACTGAAAGGAATAAAACCAAAGATAATTGTAAAAGAGTAAGCAAAGCTGCTTTTACAGCCCA